AGCCGCTGACTACTTCACTGCTTCATAGCCCCGGGCTCGTATCACAGCTGTGTGCCACCCCCGCAAACTCGTATTCACCAATTACTGAGGGTTGTGTGGACAATAAACCTGAAATTCCTTCTATGGCTTATGCGCAGGGTTCCAGTGGACATATTGATCCTACACTGGTTCAGTTTTTTGCTCAGTTATTAGGTAACGCTGTAAATGATGATGTAAATATTGAGAAAACTCTGGCAGACCCGAGTAATGCTGTGAACTCCCAGTCGTCAAACTCTCTGCCGCAGCTGATGGCCCAACTCTACCTGGCAACTGTTCCCTCAGATGTTCAGCGTTTCCCGGCCCTAGTAACACTACCGAAATCCCCAGACCAGAGCGCGCGGACAGAGCTGCTTGGTCAGTCATCTCATCTGCTCAGCTGCACACAGAGTGGACCAAACAGATCGGTGTCACAGGCCCAAGCAAGTGACATTCGACAAAATTTAGGCGAAATATTTCCAGCATTCGCTCTGTTGAATTCCATCTATCCCGGCACCAGATTCGGGGACCCACTGGTGTGCAGCGCATTACTTGGCGCACAAAAGACGAAAAATACAACGTCGCCGAAAGTTGGACTGCCAATCATCGAACGCCCTAGCAGTCCACCACATTCACCACAACCCCAGGTTGCCCTTCAGAGACCTTACTTGTGCACCTACTGTCAGACACGTTTCCAAGCTTTCACCACCTTCCAAGTGAGTCAACGTTTCAGTTGTATATACAAATTTCCGATGGGCATATCTTGCTGCATTATGACGGTTTCAGTTCCTTGTGGTAACTGACCTGAGGCTATGTGGACCCATCTGATCTGGCTGGATTAACATGTCAACACTGGTATCCGGTTATTCTTCAGTCGATGGATATGGTTGTTCTGTACCACTTTGGCGGTTTAGATGCCTCACTACTAATGAACCAGATAAAAGCAAAATAGTCTTCTGCAGATGTTTCTCCGTTTGTCGATCTGAAGGCACATGCATACAGTGTTTCAAGACGGTCTACTTAAGTGGGAAATTTCGCCCACCCTGAGTGCACTGAACAAACTAGCTGCTCCTGTAGGTCCCATGTATCCCTATAGGTCTCTTGGCGAGAGGCTGACAGATAGACAGACAGACGACGTCTCTCAATTTTGAGGCTTATATTACATTATTATTTCCGAAGTACAGTGTCTTTTCAAAGCAAAACCGCGAAGAGACGTTTTAGTAACAAAATGGTTGATGTAATATCGAGACTGCTAGGTCTCGATGGGATTCTTCAATAAATGTATGGAATGTTCCCAACCAATATTAGTTCATCAAGAGCTCATACTTTCCCAAATAACAGAAAATTTCCAGCCTTTAGATCCACAGCCTGATTTTTAGCTGTTGTAGACACAGCTCTATGTCAACGGACAGAAATAACTGTTGAGACTGTAGAAGACCCGGTGATCTAAGTTTATGAATAGCCACTGGTGTTTTGCTCTGTGACGGTCAAACACCGGTTCTTTACCGAGGTCAACTTCATTGAAATTCGTAGTAAGGATCATCTGCGTACCACGCAAGCAATCTAGTCGACCCTCCAAAAGTTGTTTTACCGAGATGGCCTTGAATGTTCGGCAGTCAGCTCAGGCGCCAATGTTTTACTACGGTCTTAGGAGTTTTCAACATAGCACAGGTCAGTAAATCTTTAGTGACTAGGTGGGATAAAGAAACGACAATACATGACTTGAGTGTTACATTCGATATGGCCACGAACAAAAACAAGTTCTATCCAACATGGATCAACTTCTAGAACACATAGTTTTGACCAGCAATCTTGGGAGGATACTTTCTTTGACATTGCGATTTTTAACAAATTAACATAAATCCTCAAGTAAGGCACATTTGCTGCTTATGGCCAATCTCGTCAAGTAAGTTTTCTGATCCATTCGTTTAGCAGGGACCAGCACGTGATACTGACAGCAGTCACTTGGCGTCTGTCAAATAAAATGAAAAAGGACGATGTAGATGTAAAGGTTAGATACATTTCGTCTCGAAAAGGCTGGACCTTATCGTGCTGTGACGCTGGTTTGTTGTTCCGCACCACAGTGAGCTATACTGGAGAGTCAATGGTTAGAGGTTAGACCAACACAAACTATCTCTCCTCCAGGTTGAAGGATGGAACATGTGTGGCGACTTGCTCTTTAAAAAGTGTAGTGCACTAGCTTTCTCGATAAACACTGCTGCCATGTGGCCAGGCTTTTGAACCAGAGGCTTCAGTTGAAGACACTAATCGTCCTATTTTCTAGGTTTGGGTTCTCTGGTAGTATCGCAGCTCGCACGATCCTTATTCTACAATTAGAAGTACTGTCATGCCACATCGGCAGTCGCGTGACGTCGTTAGCCGGGTCATCTTGCTGTGTGCAGCAGAGGAGGTGGGGAAAACAGGCCTTTCTCGTTCACCCGCTCTCCCTCATCCTCCTAGGCCCATCCGTCAGTACTGATCTTGCATCGGCATTGACCGTGATATCTGTGCGTCCGCTGGCCCCGACAGCCTCAGGCATATTAAACTCAATATTCAAGCTTCGACGCCCGGTTTATATGTCTGAATTAACGTTTACGTGGAAATAGGCTACGTAACTGGCGATTCATAGGCCACCGGAGTAGAATATACAGGGGACGGTATCGACCGAAATCACCGGACGGAAGAACCTTGCTTGACTGGATACCGGTTGATAATCAGCTCTTCGTGGTTTATATAAACGTCTGTGAAGGGTTCATACAAGCGGGAAGTGGATTTTTTTATCATGTATGTGTACGCCCCAACAGACTATAGCCCTGATACCATCAAACACCGGTTTTATGGTGCCTTGAATGCCTTGGTAAGGTGGGCTAAAAGCTCATAATTCGTTGTAGTTGTTAGATAATTCAGTGTACAAACAGGCGTGATTAGCGTGTATGAGTCTCAGTTGGTGGTCCACTTGGATTAGACTCTGAAAGACTCCAGATGTGTGCTGTCCACAGACTATGTATTACGCTCCTTCTGGAACGTTTTTGTGCATTCTGGCCATGCACTCCTCCGAGGACGCTTTTCTCTTCAATTTCCAGGGCAGTGTAAGGGGTAGAAAGCTAGCTTAGCAACCGAAGTTAGATACATCTTTCAGAATCGTCTTCTGGGCTCTCTTCTAACTAGTGGATCGACGTATGTCAATTCGTGGTGCAGAAAAGATCGACATCATTTATGCGCAATGCCGGAATTGCTGCCTGTGGCAAACCAGGCAGTCAAGCACTGATGATCATTATTGCTGCTTGAATTTCGAAGTAATCTAAGTAATTTAAGCAAGGTCCTGGAAATAATTCAGCTTGATTAATTGTCAGACATCAAGTGAAAGCCAGTGTCTATACCAACCGTGGGGCCTAATGGGCATGAAAGTGAAAGAGGGGAAGAAGTCTGGGAATGCCAGATCCCTGTGACTGCCGTCGGAAACCGCCGGTGAAGAAATTCATCTGGGATCAAAATTACGCGACCATCTTTTATAAGGAAGAACACCTTGACCGGTAGGCCACCTGCTGCCACTCGGTGGGATGGTCGATGTGTACTAAGACCGTGAACCTGGAACCTGGAAACCCTTATGGCTTTGGAAGTTTATGGTTGCCTGTTATTCTCAGGCGCCACCGAGTTCCTGAACCGAATGACCTCCCAACAATATTGTACAAGGATGAGTTTGAAGTCTTCAGACAGCGCCTGTCTTATCTAGTTGTCTCCACCTAGAGAGCGTCGCATTTTCCTGAAAAAGGAGCCCGTAAATAGCGCCGTGATCACAGATGGACTGACTTGACTGCAGTCGTAATGTGAGGCTTTGTATCGCTTGTACCTCACTGCCTTATGATAGCCGATGTAGCTTCGAATCGAGAACAGCAAGCGGATTTCCGACCGACCAATGCTACGCTGACCAAACCTTCGCACTCCGCCAGGTGCCACGCGTAGTAACGACCCACAAATGTAGTATTTCTGGATTTACAGGTCGCATTTGTGTCTTGGTTGACCGGTATGTTATCCTTTAAAGACATGCTCAGAAAGGGGTGCCCCAGAAGTTTAACACTATGGTAGTTTCTTTGTATTCTCGGACTTGAAGACATGTGAGAGCATATGCGGTTCTCTCCAAGAGCTTCCGTACACAGTGTTGTCCAACAAGGATGCCCACACTCCATTCCTAGTTAATTTCGTGATGGACGAGATAATGAGGCGAACTCTGGACGTTTTTCATACCCTGGTGCTTAAAAAGCTGGTGACTGACAACTTACCTATCTGGGCAGACCTATAGGCAGACAACATCCTTCTCATCTTCGAAGAGGAGAGGATGACATTGCTAACCGCTGTCTCAGAGCCGCAGCACGTATCCGCAACGTGACAGTTAGAAAACAAGTGTTTGGTTGTGCAACAGATACTTCAATCGAAGTATGTGACCGAATATTGTAGTGGTTGGGCCACGTGTTGCGCACGGTGAATCATCGTTTGCCTAAAATAGTGATGTTTTGGCATGCACACTTCAGGATGGCGCAAGCAGAGTGATGGCCACTCCTTGGACTGGAAGAGACTACGAACTGAGTAAGTACCATCGGTGCGACTCACCTTTCAGGATAAGTCCGCCTGATCCGCCGTATGACTGGTCGGAGACGCTACAACATATACTGACCAGTCTGGCCACTCCTTGGACTGGAAGAGACTACGAAGAATCTGAGTACCATCGGTGCGACTCACCTTTCAGGATAAGTCCGCCTGATCCGCCGTATGACTGGTCGGAGACGCTACAACATATAGCTGCTGACCAGTCAGTGGCGTTGTTGTCCTTTCCTATCCAGATTGTCTAAATGGGTTGCAGACACCTCGTAATGATTGTGGTAGGCTAGCACTAGCTCCATTACCCGTCCACTTTTATTCTTTACAACGATGATATGAAATAAATTCTGGTTGTACGGCACTGAAGCACCAGTGTCAAAAAGCTTAAATAAGGCCTGATTTTCCTTCATAGCGATCCCACTAACAGAAAAGTAAATAAAGAAACGCACAGCAAGTTGAAACCTGTAAAAACGTGAGGATTTATTGCACCAAGCTCAGCGAGAATGCCTTGATATAACGTAGAATGGATCTACCAGAAAGTATAAACAACAGTAATTTTATGAAGTTAGGATAACCGACATAAAACAGTAGGTGCGATGAGTTGACTGACAGTCTAACAAGCCTAGCTCCTTTTGCACTCCTTTTGCCCACTAAGTAACCTGTCAGTAAATAAACTGCACTACGTGTTTGACATTATGTCAGCTTTTTCACCGTTGCGGTCTCTTTCTGAAGCCCTACCCTTTTATCGTTTAAGTATACCATCGTGTTATTGGTCGACATAGTCTGTACAGATCATTGGTAACCATAAGTTTTTCTGCTCCGCAACTTGTGAATTCTTTGTTTGCTGACTTATTCGGGCATGAAAGTGTGTTTGGCCCCATATACTGAATCGTCAGCAACCCTGATATTAGTGTTTTCGGGACACGTATAAAAGGCGTACATGATGTGTTCGACTATTTTCTCAACGTTTTGAAAATGTGCCAGGTTTCGTCAAGCTAAAAACAGAGTGGAAACCACAAACGTAACACGCCACCCTCGACAGAATCTACCCATTTTGGGGCTCATCAGGTGGTCGCACTCCCCTCGTCTCCGTCGAGTTTATGTTCAACTTGAATCCAGAGTGCACGAACTCCGACGAATACACTTGGTTACAAACCAATTTGGTTTTTTAGGGAGACTCACCTGAATCCCAGCTGGATCTCTCGTTTATGATAATGGTGAGTCTCCCGTGAAAATCAAGAAGGGCGCGACTACACATCTGCGATCAGCAGCAGATAAAACAAGCCAGTCAACGGACAACAAAATAAAACTAAATTAGGACGAATAAAGTTCAGATGGTTCGAGCTCGAGATAATCTGGATCGGATATTATTTTTCACGTCAATGGTGTCCGCAGATCTGTGATTCCCGATTTTCTTCAGGTTGTGGACGGTTATTTCGTCTTTCCATTGAAAGGCATAGATTTAACCACACCAGAAATGCCACGTGGTTATGCTACACCAAACACTAAGTCTCTCCAGCTGTTTGTTTCAGCATGAAATTATAACAAGATCACACAAAAGTCATCGTTAAATACCGTCCTATTGCCGCGTTTTATTCCTATTAGATCAGCCAGATCACTCCTCAGACCGGTTAGTTTCCATCACACTTGTGCCTTAGGAGTGCTTCGGTGAAGGACTAGAACACTACATCCCTAGAGCAAAACCGCCCATCGAAAGTAATTCCAACGATACCTACGGTATTGTTTCTTGTGTAGTGGTAATTGTGTCGCCTGGAATGGAATACCGTTGGAATGACTCAAATACTTGAAAGCCTGCCGCTGGTTCGGTGCTGTCAACAGGTGATTGCAGCCATTACAGAACCGATTTAACAATAACAACGACTGCCTTCTCCATTTTTACTCCACTGTTGACCCCTCTTCTGAAGGACTGGCTTTGGTAATTGACTATCACTCATTAGTTCCGCAAGTACAGTTTCATTCATCCTGACACACACAAGGGATGGGCTGCATGTGTGTCTATCTGCGATCCCGATAAACATCGGATGTGAGGGCAACCCTGAATGGAAGCAGCTGAGAGAAAGGATCATCAGATAAGCATACGAGAAACACGCAAAGAACTGGGAAACGTGTTGACCATTATCAGGCGCGCAGAATCTTGGCGTGCATGGGCGCCGTGCAGGATCTGGTCGCAGTTATGCGCTTGAATTGGCATGGGCGAGGAAACCACCTGGGAAGCAGTAACCAAGCCCAAGACTGGGAGGTACTCTTGCTTATGAAGCGAGCGAACAGTGGCATATGATAACGATCATCGCACAGCCTTTCTACCCATCACACCACCCACCCACACATATACACCCCATTCGTATGGAAGTTGATGCCAACGTGTGTAAGTGTGTGCCGACGTCCTCAACACAAAAGACCTGCGGGACTGAACATGCCCACCCAGGTCCGAAGGGAATAACCAAAATAAACTGCTGTGCGGCATGCTGATAATATGTACAACTGCAACCCTGGGCATTCAGGAATGAAAAGACAATAAAATGGCGCAAATTGCAAATTACGATCTCTACCCGATTAGCTTATCATGACTGTTTCAGGGAGATGCAATTTCGATGGAAACTGGATTTTCTTGCTGGGTCGGCCAATTTACCTCGTTTTAGTCAACTGTGGCGCGTTACTTGATGAAAGTTAGTTTGTTCATTCCCTGGTATCCCACATAGCTAGAATTAGTATGTTTTTGCCAGAATGTATGAAAGTATACGGTATTTGAAATCACCTTTTTGAGGCTATCGAATTTCCATTATCTAGTAATGGATGGAAATTGTCGAATAAAAAGTTCTGGAAGAAATGTAGTGTGCCATGAATCATACCGGAAGGAGCATAAATCCGAAATCAGCATAAATAAATGGTTCACGGGGGCTTGAACGGGATCAAAACGGTTGCGACAGAGGAATAATATTTCAAGGTTGACAAGCTGATCTGCTGAAATGGTGAACTTGCTTTGACTGGTGGACCCGGGGAACAGTGTTGTGCAAAAAATGGAATACAGGCACACTGACAACCCCGCACTTTTGGTTTACCGCTTCTGTAAAAAGCTCTACAACTCCTTTCATGGCCCACAAAACTACTAGGTATCTTTGCTATAGGATCAAATGTACGCAGCCAAAATCTCCGAAAAAACTCAGTCAATTATTGGTGAAATTTACCGTGAAAATTCAGGTAGCGTCAGCATAATCACAAAACTAATGACCTGTAAAATACACTCATTTGCGTACCAATTTTAGTTTCGACGTGAGACTCACCTGGAACCCAGCTGAATCTTCCGTTTATGATGATCCAGGTGAGTCACTCATGGAAATCTGTAGGCAAATGAGTGTATTTAGCTAAGTTCGTGCAATCAGGGCTCAGGTAGAACATATGGTTGACAGAACTTCGGGGACTACGACTACCAGATGAGTCCGAAGAAAGGCGTAACCTATCGCGGGATGTCGCAGTTTTCAGCCACCTCATGAGTAGTGCATCTGCTGTTTGGCTTCTAACCACCCAAGTTACTTGACGTATTTATGGCTATACGTTACTCTGATTTCTCATACTGGTTGCAGTTCACATCATCAAACTGCTATCTAACCTGTACCAAAGATTGACAAAGGACCTCGTACACTGAGTTTTGACGCGTACAGCCTGTGTTTTGAATGTAGATGATAAAGCACTTCAGTATATCATTGGTATCAAAATCATTATAGCTCGTTGGCGTTTCTCAAGTCTTCATCGGCTCCTGACAAGGTTCAAAATGATGTTTAGAGAGAGAGACGAAAAGGGAAGGTAAATTCTAGAACCGAAGCTTGAATATTTGATTGTACCTCTGAACTCATCATTGTGCACGCCGCAGCTTGTGAACTCTGGTACTCACACACTTTTCATAAACATTCACGCACATCGGGAAAGTTACGCTGAATCCTCTTTATCCTGAAGGAAAATAGGTCTTCCGATTGTCTTCATGTCATGGTGGAAGCTGGAAATTGGACGTATGCAACTCTTTAGAACGCAATTCTCGCTTGCATCCATTATTTAGATTTTGCAACTGTCCGTGTTTAGCTGATAGGCACATAAAACAGCAGCTTTAAATTATCTCCTAAGAACTTGTACGTGAATGAGAGCCTAAAGTATCCTAATACAATAGTTCCCTACTTTCAAGCAATGGAACTGACGCCGCCAGTACTGCATACCTTTTGGCATTTTAAATGTCAAACGTTGAACGAAACTTGGTTGGCACGATTCAGCCGTCAAAACAATTTCGGAAGCGAATAGGAGTTCTTTGCTTCGACTAGGTATCCCTCCTAATTTGTTACTTCAATCCTACCATGATTCTATGGATCAATACCAAATGTGCATGTTGTTATTTACACGACTTCGAAGTGCTGGAAGCAAAGTGAAAATGAATCTAACATTGTCAGTAGTGGTCCGGGGTATTCATTACGCACGACTATGAAGTTGCTGCGTAAGGGCAATAGATCGCCCATTGCAAAGCTTGCCTAGTGTTTCACGTTGCGAAATTCGAATGCGCCCACCAGTTTGTGTAAGTAGTTGCAATGCTGGAAATAAACCTTGAGTTTGTCGCTTTGAAGACTTATGCCATCTAAATTGTTTCGTCTAACTTTTTTCGTGGTATTCTTATATAACATAGTCAGGCGTTGAGAGTGAGTCCACAACAGCTTTGCCTTTTACAGTGCACTTCCAGTTAAAGTGGCTACGAAGTCAAACTTGTCTAGACCGTGAATAGAAAGGGCTATTGGCTCCTCACACTTCCGAGCTAACCATTGCTCAAAGCCAGTATCCAATTAATAAAGACTAATTCAAGACATATCGGGTGTTGATAATTTCTAAACGGGAGTTTTACCTGCCGGGATGTAACTACAACTGCATAATCCAAATTTTTGAAAAGGTTTACTACTCACATGGACGTTCTCGATGTAACAAGAGGGGAAAGGTTCCATAGTTACCAAAAGTGGAACACAGTGCCTTCATCTATGTTGATTCACAAATCACTCGTGAAAACATTTTCCAGTATCACCTTCCTGGTTTGTCGTTGATGGAACTTTTACCATCAGCATAGTACCCGTCGTTGCACAAGGCGAATTACACGTTTGTTGAGTTTTGAAATAACGCGTACATTTTTGGTTATGGGCGTTCCGTTCGCCTTCAAGCCAAATAAAAAACGACTGCTATCCTGTACACCTATTTGGTACACGTTTAGCTAGTTTAGCTCTCACTTCAAATTATCTCTAATCATTATTCCACATTGCTTTATTGTCTCAGTAATCGAGTTTTCATGCACGTTGCAAATTAGACATATCGTCTACTGGCGACGACCTCACACGGTTAGATTTTGTTCGTTTCCAGTTTATCGCCCAACGAAGTACAGGCCATCACATGCCGATTTGCCTCACACATATGTCTGGAAAGTTGAACCTTTATTCGCTCTCACGCCACACACGATTGCTGGACTCCAATTTGAAAAAAAACCCATGGTGGATGACTGATTAAGGTTCATCAAAGCAGCATCTACACAACGAGACCGTTGTTACTGTCACCATTTTACAGTCTCCGTTTATCCTGTTTGTGAAACGGTTTCTAGCACCGCGTACCTGTCGTCATGATGGGCTGAGATAGTACGGAGCGATAACATTCCACTGCCTAGTGATGGCGCCAGTCACCGTCCCTCATACCCCCTGCGACTAGGCGTGTATCCATATTCCTCTGGGACAACCGTGCTTGTTTGATCGCGGGCATAAGGGGGAGAGTGTGATTGCTCCCTATTTCACTGATCATTCTAAAATGCCATTTTTCGGTTAAACCTTTTTATGGTTGAACTTAAATACCGCTCCTAAGAATAGAAATTTCATTGGCTATGCTGGGCAAGAACCACTATATTTTTCGAGCGGCGGAACTATAGCGGGTTGGAAATTTGCGTTTGAGTGTCTGATCCACTTAGCATATTTGTAATAGATCTGCAATTAAATTCCGAAGAGAGTTAAACTAGCATTATGTAGATGGAATCTTAATGATGCATCTGTTGGTGGTGGTTTTTCTACCAATTCTTTTTCAGCCAATTATTTGGCACATTTTATCGTGCAATGTAGTGTGAAAATTCGTGTGATGCCAACGCACAGCTTTTCTGACCCTTGAGAGTGAAGAAAAATTAGCTCTTCTGAAAGAGACCAAGTGGGTAAATTTGATACTAACCAGCTTAAAAATATGTTCAGTAGATTCATAAATTTTGAAAGTCTACAATCGTTACTCTCAAAATCTCAAGATGACCATTACAAATACTCAAAGCAAACGAACAGTGAGGTTTTGCCCTGATTTCCTATACCCAACAAGAATTAAGAACCCGGATATGTAAAATAAGAACGAGTTTGCGCCGGTCGATTAGAGAACCAGACAAAAGTAGTAGTACTGACCGTCGAAAGAGATGCGAGTATAACTGGTTTTAAGGTACCAACTATCGTACTTTTCATGGCGAATGTTCACAGATCGATACTACGTTTCACAAGAGACCACCGTGTATTGGTCCTTGAAAATCCATCGGGTTTTCGGGATCTGCAAAGAAAGCTTACATTATTTTCTTCAAGGAAATTACTCACAAGTTTGTTGAAAGCTTTTGGAGCTTAATAAGAGTTTCCTTCCAGCAAATATGCTACATGTCTTGAATGTCGTACCACCTAGAACGTAGAGTGGCCGTCGTGCAGCGTATTCAGTAGAAGAATATCATACAGAAGCTATTCAGCTAAGTCCTCCTTTAAAACCAAACTCATGTGCAAATATGAACACTTGCATTAATTTTATTGTAGCTAGTTTCTTGATGATATTTCATAAAACAGAATCAAGAAGGGTGAAACCATTCGCGGGCTGTCGAAATGTTTTCAATGACCTCGGGATTAGTTTTCCTTATGATAATATACTGTGATATCCGAATATGGTAGAAGGGTGAAACCATTCGCGGGCTGTCGAAATGTTTTCAATGACCTCGGGATTAGTTTTCCTTATGATAATATACTGTGATATCTCGAATATGGTACCAACTGAAACATGAAATTGACTTAGTGCAGGATATTCAGTTGAAGAATATCGTAAACGAGAGTTTCAGCTGAGTCTCCTGTGGAAACCCAGTTGATACACGAACGGGTGTATTCGAGGAAACCTTGTACAGGAATTGTCAGCAGAGGAACGTTATATATGTTATCAACCCTACCGGTACATTGATATTTCACCACAACTCGTGCCTTTCCGTTCCTGACCCATCATTGTGGATACTTTTATTGAACGGAATTCCGTCCTGATTACCATCGTAAAGGTGCTACCTGCACAGCGGCGCCGTCTGCACTGGTTCGTCCAGTACCAAATGAAACCGGTTCACCTTGGGTGCTCAACACTGTGGCAAGCACATCTATGGCCTTCACTGTCACGAGTTCCAGCTACGGTCATGACTGGATCAATTTCGTTTTGCAACAAAGACGAGCGCCTTACTGGTATTAGCTTTGTTCTGCCTGTGCAGTGAGCGATACCATCAAGTAGTGTCTTGTTTTCACCAACCGGTACACTGCTGTCATATGATCCAGCGGACACTCGCTATCTCCCGACGGAATTCCATCTGCCTTTTGGGAAGTGAACTTGATGCGGTTAGATTACCTCGTATGTAGACTCATAAGAAAATGGGCGCACATCCATTTTTCAATGCATGTAATGAAGGCTTTGACAGCGGGAAAATATATTGGCGTTCGGGTCCTTCAAAGATGAACACGATGTGATGTCTGGTTTGTGCATATCGTTGATATTCCATGGGAAGGAAAGCGACTTTCCCTACTAATCGTAAAATATTGAAATTGGTGTGCGATTCTATTACTGTAGCTTACGTTTCAAGATTAGATTGCCACTATCTCCTCACGTGGATCTCAATCCCTTCAAATTTATCATAATACTGAGAAATAAGATAGCAAAGTTGTACATCATTTGGCTTACCGATTACTGTTTAATGCTGTTCAATTTCTTCCAAATCTAGGCTCATCAACAGTACTACTGCCAAGCACGTCGTGAGGTCGTTCGAAGCACAGTAGGTATTGCTACGACCCAACCTCAAGCTTGTGCTACACCCGCAGACAGTCCTTCGGTTTCAGTCACGTCCTCGCCTCCCAGTAATTCCCTATCACCAGGTGGTTCAGGGCAAGCAAAACGGCGCAGAATTGCGCCAATCAGTCTGACTCCTGTAAAGGAATCACAGACATGCAAACCAGGTAAACAGCTGACGACGACTTCTTCCAATCACTCATCCGCTTCTGGAAGTGGCGATGAAGCTGACAATGGACAATTACGAACAACTCCAGGCAGCAACAAGCACGAACTCACAGGTACCTCTTCAGTCAGGCTGGAAGCGAGCTCTAATGAATCAGATAATACATCTGTACGCTGCGAACCATGTGGTACATCCGAGCTACGGTGCATAGCATGCGGTTATGTGGGTCAAACACCAAGAGGCATGAAAATGCACAGGAGGTTGCACGAGTGCAACGGTGGCAACCTGAAGTGAGTTCATCGATTCGTTTCTGGCCGCTCTATGGCTCTCATCCGCTATATGGTGCTTCAAAAGAAAGAGGGACATTAGCAAAACAGTCGCATGCATTTTATATTGTTGTGCTACCTCTATGTTCCCAGTGTTTTTTCTTGACCCCACCCATGTCGACCATAACAGAGCACCAAATCGAATTTGTTTTTGCCAAAATAATGCGAGTAGTCGATCATTCCTCGACATGAGATGAGTGACTATAAATCAGCAGAGCATTTCTTGTGTTGTTATTTCGCACGCACTTAAAACAAGCCATATGCAGCAAATGCACTTACTTTTATATCAACTTGGTTTTGACGGCATACACACCTGGAACCCACTGATCTGCAACTGAGTGTATTTGTCGAAATCTGTTTAATTTGGGTTCAAGTAGAACATAAGGTTGACGGAAACTCGGAAATTGCATCTACCTGATGAGCCCTAAGAAGGGCGAAACCGAACTTGGGCTGCCGAAGACCTTTTAATAACCTTATGAGTGACGTAATGCGTCTACACCATATCCACTTAACTCATTTCGCATTCCAACGGCGCCTTCTCCGTAAGCGCGCCCCATCTTTGCTGAAACGCTTGACAGAACTTTGGAAAGTTTAATATGGAATTATTCTTTCAGGTCTATCGAGATGCTGTCTAAAGAACGTGTTGAATCATATTTGCCATGTTTGTCACCAAATGGGCTAAACTGCCCTAAAATCTCATTGAAACACATTTCACCGACACCTGTAAATGGCCTTTTGTGATGTCGTGCACCCTTTTGTTACGAATCAGGCTACTCATGAGTAGTTAATAGTGAGATTGCTTGGTCTGTCCACCCCGAGCGATCGGCGTTTCGACCCAATTGTTGCACGAAAATCTAGCTTCGCACCACTCGAAATTTGCGAGACAAAAAAGCAGCGGACTCTAAAATCACATTCAGATGATAAGTTGGACAAACCCGGGCTATGGCACCCAGAAAACTCCAAGATTGGGAGCCAGTTCCTGAACTCCCAGTTGTTTGCATAGCAGCGAAGCGAAATTTCATTTTATATACTTTCTGCTGATTATTTTGCAGGCGTTGCCGACGAGCGGGAGAAAAATTCATCTATGAACTTAACATTTCTAAATTATTGCATGGGATCAAACTGGTAGCTGACAAGTCAAGTAAGGCTGACCTTGCCATCATCCCATTGAAATCCGTAATAATGAGGAAAACACCTGGGATACGAAGACTGATTGATTAAGGATAGTTGTGCTCCAGCGACAGCCTCTGCTTCCTAAACGGCAAGATACACCATTACCATTCCGAGGAGGACCTCGAGTATTTGTGGTGCTTATCATTGGTAGTAGTAGGCGTATGGAGTGTGTCAGGAAGATCAGATCCCTGAAAATAACCCCAGAATACCCGGAACCTCCTGAGACCCCAGAAGTCCACCAAAATCTCTATAGGGAAGCCGGAATGTATCCAGGCCAGGCAATCACTCCATCAATTCAGAAAAAGGCTGATGAGTCTTCCGACACGCCACAGATAAGTGTTCAGGCATTTCATAGAAGCCTGGTCTATATTGATACATATTTAAGAATCGTCGATCCGACAGCCTGGATCAATGTCAAAAAGTGCTCTTTAAATAGCACGAGGCCGCTGTAGCTTTCGAGCTCGCATGCACTCGCTTGTTATAATAAAGCTGTTGTGTTCCCTCTCGGTAAGTCTTTTCCAGTAACAAGGCATCGGAGCGGGGACAACAGTCGGTTACAACAGAGTGGTTTCAGTTCTCCAGGATCATGTGTAGGTAGTCTGCAAATCCTTTTGGAGGTTGCTACAGCCGAATCCAGTCCCCTGGTTCTAAGTTATCAGTGAAATTCATGCGTTTGGAAAAGTTCTGCAGGTGAACGATTGATGAGGGCCACAAATAGTGATACGAGAACTGAAGTCTTGGTTACACCGTGCCAATTTGCTGGTTGTCGTATCTTGTTCTACTTATCCGAACACCCCTTCGTGTGGAATGGCTGAATTAGAGCACCACATACTTTGCTTTCATCCACAAGAGATATTTTGATTTTGTATGAGGGAGTTTGGGGAAGTCAAGGTAAACGACATCTACCTCCATACAAGAGTCAAGGTCCGTTGTCCAGCTGCTGCTGGCAAGTAACAAGTTGACCCTCAAGATGCATGCAAACACATACTGAAATAACAGGCTTTTTGGATGCATGTTACATATAAGCTCAGCCCATCCGCTAAGTGATAGAAAAGTCTGAGGGTTTTGGGGTAGGTTTAGTCACCGACCTGTCCAACTGGCTCCTAGTGACTTTCCTCACTACGTCGGTGTACTCTACTGATTGGCTGTATACCTGTGATTAAGTGCCAGATCGCAATGATGACCGGGATGTAATAGTGTTACATTCACACGGGATTTTTCGAACAATACCATGGTACTATCCTGATTTGATATGAGGGTGTACATTTAAACACTGCGTCACCTTCAAATACCAATGAAGTCGGAACAGTACCAAAGCTTACGTCGGAGTAGTGTGAGTCCCTTTTGGAGCGAAAAGTAGAACTAAGAAATGAGGCTTTAGGAGAAAGGGGGCAAGTTTTTTTTAATGCGTCTGAGAGTTCAGAATAAAATTACTGAAACACGAGCAGATTACTTTTGCTCGTTTGTCCTTTGGTTAAAAACTTTCATAAGATAACCAGTCAGGATTGAACGAATAAATGATGGTCTTTTTATATCCCAACTATTGTATCCCGAATTTTTTGAGGATGCTTTTTTGCTTACTGGACATACGGTTATTGTATTGCAGTGCCCAAAGAGACCAAAAGACTGTGAAAAAACGACCGCAACAGACAGATAAGGATGGTAGTGGGATCGAATTCGCAACACATACTCAGCAGTCCATATTCGACCGCAATCAAAGGACTGCACAAACACCGAAAGAGAACGTTAATTCGGTCAAATCAGAACCGACGTGAACTTAAAGCGAACATAACAACTTGCCTGCTCAACTTTGTGATACCCCTTCCATATGTCATCCCCCCTGAGTCAATTTTCTGCCTTGAGGGCCCCAGCTGAAAGAAATAGCTTCTTGGACCGCTTATGCCTCCTCCTCATGCACGCAAACTGATAAAGCGCTGAATTTTGTAAATAAACTTCAATTTTTTCTTGTTCTTTAACCAGTTTTACTCTAAACAAAGAATCCTGATAAATTTACTCAGTCTTCTAACGGTCCGTGGAAGGGAGTATCGGAATTTTTAAACGGAGTACCGCTAGTCAGATATAGTGAACTAAATATGTTAATTGCAGGAATGAAACGCAAACTATAGTCAACTCAAGCACCCCTAGTCATGTGATCGATAGATGTGGCGTCGTGTCAAACTAGTCAAGACCTATACTGCTGATCAGTCACAATTCGCCTATTAACGGATGTCAATGTTTTGGCTTGCAACCTAGTTCAGAATAGGACCTCCATTTTAATAATCTCGGCTATCTTGTATCATACCTGTAACAAGACAGTGGCGGTGTAATGGGTATACAGAGTGTGGCAACGGTCGATGTCCCTAAAAAAGAAATGTATTATCCCGGTTGATCTGTTTAGCGTGGAAACACGTGACAGCGGATATTAATGTTACCACGACCGCAGTGGGTTTTGGGCTTAGAAGCACACAATACTACCCACAGGGTTCCTGGAAATTCTCCGGTAACTCACTACCGACTACGCCCTTCCTGAAACTCATTCCATAGGTCAAATCTCTAAGTTTCTATCATCGTTATCCTCTAATTGAAAATCAAATTGCACACCAGAGTAACTGCACACTTAGTTGCAAATTGATTTGGTTTGAACAATAGACTCGAATGAGCGTCATCCGAAGATCGCTTGTGCACTGGTTTGGTGTGAGAGATAAGGTTGGTGGTGGAGACTCGAGAAATTTGTCTGCCCAGTAGACACAAAGAGCACCGAAAACTATAGTGGGCCGTTGGACGAGTTTTCAACAAACTTGTAAGTAAGGCTGAATATTCAAGAACTTTTGGATATCTTGATAATCGCCTGAGTGCAGCTCATCCAGTCAAAGTCTACTGTCAAGAAGAAATTTGGCTGGAGTTCAGTAGGTGCTAAAGTAACACCGAGTTAAGTTACAAAAGTGGATTTAGATTCGAAAACAGCAACGTTTTTTCCGCAAAAATCGTCGTTATCATTGACAACAACACCAAATATGAAAAATGTAGTTTCATTACTTACACCTACGCCAGTTTATTTTAATAATGCATTATAAGGTGAAGAAGAAAGAAATGAGGCAGGAGGAAACTAGAGATACAAGAATATCCTAAACTCAGTAAAACAATCCGAACAGAAACTGACATTATGAACTTCACTGACATCGGTTGGCCGTCATGTCGTTCACTGTCTCCAGCCAAGCACAGTGATGGTCACGTTGAATCCATCCTGGAAGGCGAAAAGCACTAACAACATCCAAGTTTTCCGTAACATCCCTCATTTCCCCTGCCTTGTCAAGTTCTGTCCACCTCTAGGTGACCACCACACCGAATCAGGCACGGACAATAGAGTTTACCTTAGCTCGATGTAACTCGGCGCGCGTAACACATGGCCAAGCCACTGTAGCTTGCTGGGTGCACTTTTTTAGGGAATCAATGTCAGCTTCATTCGAAACCCGTCTCCTGATCAACTCATTGCGAATTCAATGGTTTGAACCGATTCCAAATAGACTTCTGGAACGCCGGTGGCCAAAGACCTGAAGATGTTTCAGATCGTTCACCCGAATTGCTGAAGTCTAACAATTGTACAAAAATACACCCCCTGATATGTGCGTCCCTTGGGACCCAGTGAGATACCTTTTTGACGCCACAAGTGACTCAAATCGGAAAAAGCAAGTACAACCTTTGAGATTCGTGCGCTTACTTCGCCTGTCACACTACCATCAAAGCTAATGAAACTTCCAGTATCACTACTTGAATTTTCAGAGGCTTGTACAGACTGTACGTCCTGTAGCACGGCTTTGCACTTTTTGGGTGCGAAGCACATGCCAAAGGACCGAAGGATCCTAATCGGCTTTTAAAGTAATCCATGAACTTCCTGTTCCTCTTGTAAAATGAGAACAACGTTATCCGTATATTCCAGGCCGACATTGATCGGACACATTTCTTGATCGGACAGATTCGAGCACCGGGGTTTCGGAGAGCTTCCAGTGTTCACTTCATTGTCTCATCAATGACGAAGTTAAAACTGGAGAGACCAGGTATCCTCTTCTGACACTGCAGTTTGTCGGAAAGCTTTTGGAGACTCCCTATGAACCCCTACAAGCCCATTAGTACGTGAATACAAACATTTTCAAGAACTACTGCAGCACACTTTGTTGAGCAAGCCTGTTGAGAAGTGCTAACCGATCTACAGAGTCGAACACTTTTTTGAAGTCAAGGAACACCAATTTTGCAAGGCATACTGTAGTTCTAATATTTGACGGAGTGTGTAGATGTGGTCGACCTAGCCCCTTCCTGGCCGATCCCTTCGTCACACCTTCTTAAGACGACGTAAAATAGGCAACCCAAAGAGTGGTTGCAACAAGGGTCAAGCAAATTCCTCGGTGATTGCCAGACTTAGTCCGACCTCACTTTTTGAAAACAGGCACTACTGTTCACTTATCTCACTTTGGTGAGACAGTCACTTTCGCCCAGATAGAAGAAAATAAGCTAGACTAGCACCGGCCCACGATTTAAGCTTTGAACAGAGTGGGTAGGGGGGGGGAA